CCAAAACCCCCCCGAAACGGACTCTATAAGTATGGACACCGAACACGACGAGGGAAGGGAAGGAGCCGGGTGGGAGAGGGCAGCGGGAAGCGGAGGCGAGCGGCTGGGGGGGCGCGGTGGGGCCGGGGGCGTCCCCAGCCCCGCGGAGGGGGCGGCTCCGGCTCCCCGGGGCTCAGCGCGTCCTCGGCGGGGTTGTGCTTAGCATGTACCGGGGAGGGGGGGGATGCTGGGCCGGCCCCCCGCCCCGCAGCCCCGCTCCGGGGGCTGGATCCGGCCTCTTCCCACCGCCGCTGCCGGCGGGCGCCACTGTCCGAGCGCCACGGAGGGTCCCGAGCGGCCCCCGGAGGGGCTCAAACGTGCGTCTGCATCCGCCTCTGCAGGGGCCGGCTGGGGTCTGAGTTTTGGGAAGAGGACTGGGAGTGGTGGGAGGAGGATGCGGAGGCCTTGCTGGCCTTGTCGAACTGCACGTAGCCGTCCTGCTTCCCGCTGCTGCTGATGCTGCTGTCGCACTGGGTGTCGAGGAAGGAGCTGCTGTCGCTCATGGAGCCGCGCTGGAACTCGCGCTCGCACAGCTCGATGGAGCTGCTGCCCATGCCCAGCACGAAGCGCTGGCTGTAGTCGTAGAGGCGGCTCTGCCCGCTCAGGGTGCTGTAGATGTTGGTGAAGGACATGCCCGTGGGCACCCGCTGCTTCCCGGCCGGGCGCAGGTCGGCCGGACAGCCCGACAGCGAGATGGTGGGGGTGGAGTGGTGCTCCTTGAAGGTGTTCACGCTGTAGTAGCCGTTGGTGGGGTCCTGCAGAGTGGGAGAAAGCAGAGGCAGGTTGGTGGTGCCCGCTCTCCCTGGGTCCTGTGGCATTTGGGGCGCCCACCCTGCCCATTCACCCAGCACGTGCAAGAATTATAGAATATCCTGAGTTGGGAGGGACCCACAGGGATCACTGAGTTCAACCCCTGGCCCCACACAGACACCCCAGCAATCCCCCCCTGTCCCTCAGAGTGTTGTCCAAACCCTCCTGGAGCTCTGGCAGCCTTGGGGCTGTGCCCACTGCCCTGGGGAGCCTGGTCAGTGCCCAACCAGCCTCTGGGGGAAGAACCTTTGCCTGGGATCCAACGCAGCCCTCCCCAACTAGTTCCAGCCATTGCCTCGGGTCCTGTCACAGAAATCGGTGCTGTCCCTCTGCTGCCTCTCGGGAGGAAGCTGCAGACCCCGATGAGTCTCCCCTCAGTCTTTTCTCCACACCCTCCACCATCCTCTGGGATGGACCAGCACTGGGGACATGGCCCAAGGACAGAAAGCCTGGCAGAAGCAATGCCAGGCAAGGGACGAGCTGGTCCTGCCCGGGGGTGGGCACGGCATGCAGACCCTCTGCCAGGAATGACCCGGGGGGCTCTGAGCCCCATCTCCTCATGGGGCTGGGGACAGACTGGGGCCATGTCCCCATGGCCTGACTCACCTTCAGGTTTTGAAACTCCTTCTCCTCCTCTTTGAGCACCTCGAGCTGCTTCAGCACCGAATCCTGCTGGAACTCCCCCCGGTCCATCTAGGAAAGGATGCGAGTGGGGGGTCAGCGTCCCCTGGCCCCCGGCGGCCCCCGGCTGTCCCCACCACCACCCACGCCACGTGGGCTGAGCCCCACACGCGTCATCAGCCCCACGGCACAGGGAAGTTGTCACCAGCCGGTTGTGCCCAGGGATGCCCCAGCGGGGCGGTGTCGGAGAGCAGCGGAGCCGGAAAAAAAAAAAGCCTCGCGATTCCCTGGGTTACAGGTTGTTTTTCCCTCTGTTTTGGACAAAAAAGGCCCGGCTGATGCAGAAAGTGAATTTATTTACCGTGGTGAGGGTTGGAGCTGCACCACCTGGCCAAAGCAACACCCTCAAAATCTCCTTATTTTGCTGTTTTCCCCCCTTCTTTTCATCCTTCCCTCCTCAGCTGAACTTGGTCACCTCAGTATTCCTTTGAAAGCTGGCCGTGATCGGGGGGGAAGGGCAAGTTGCACATTAATTACACTACGCTTTAATTACCCCTCCTTCGGCACGGGGGGCTCTGCAGGAAGCAGAATAATTATCAACCAATTTCTCAGTTGCCTTTTTTTATCTTCTTCCGTATTTATCGGGCGCATCCAGCCTGGCTTCTCTGGGATCGCAGCCCCAAAGCAGCCCTCAAATCCCCTTTTATTGCCCAAATTCTCTCCTCTTTAAGGTGGTAAGTAGCTGTGGAAATTCACCCCGCGGCGCTTGCTGTTCATCTCCCGAAAGCCTTTGATGTGGCTGTTAAAGGCAATAAATTAAAGTACCTGAGTTTTCCTAGGGAAAAAAAACCCTCTATCAGCCATTGATTTACCTGGATAAATACAACTGTCGCCGAGGATTAAACCAGTGCAACTAAAATGGGATGTGGAGGTTTCTTTTGCTCTGCTGGCCCCAGCGACTCCCTAAATCCCCTAAAGCATCGCAGCGAAGGCAGGGATCGGGGGTGTTAACCCAAGAAGGGTTTCGCAAGTCCTGGCTCAGAAAGAAAAGGAAAAACCACTTTTCCTCCTTGGATTTGGCTGGGTTTTGGCGTGTGTGACCCGGGCGGGCAGGGCAAGACCCAGGGGTGGAGAGGGGAGAAGAGAGGTGAGAACCAAGGGGACAGTCCCGCTGGGACCAAACCTCCGTGGAATTAGTGTCGGGTTTGACGGGGTGTTTTAAGCCGTTTTCTGTAGCTCTTGCGGGGATGGTGGCAGTGATCCAGGCACTGGGATGCCCCTCCAGTCCCGTGGGGCCCCTGCCTGTGCCCGGGGCTGGCAGGATGCTCTGGGTCCGGCCGCACCCCGTGGCTTTGGGGGCTGCAGGGAGCCCCCATAAAGCGCCGTCTCATCACTGAATCGCCAACTCCCCCACTACAGCCGGTCATTAACGTGACCTTTGTTAAACCTGCGTGGCGGCTCAGCCCCGACGCGACCTTACGGCGTTAATTAGCAGGTGCTGAGATGCTCATTAGCGTCGCTTCCGCTTTGCCGCCGCTGCGTAAACACCGGGAGGGAAAAAAAATTGACTGAAGTTCACTTCGTCACCAATATTAATGGGCATTACGAAGGGAGAGCGGGAAATGCATGGAAAAAGACCAGGAATGACCAAGTGCGCTGGCACGGGATGCTCCAGCGTCGTGCCCGGGCTATTTTTCCCGGAGCCGTGGCTTTCTCCAGCCGGTGACAGCACCAATGTGCTCCTCGGCGCTGCCCTGCACGTGGCTGAGGATGCACCCGCCTGTTAGAGCCGCGTGCCCGTCATTCCCCTCCTGCCAGCGCCATTCCAATCCCGGGAATGTCGTGCCAGGACTTAATCCTGCTTGGCAGTGCCGGGCGCCAGCAGCCTTCACCATCCCCGGGCTAGCTGGGCATCGAGGTGTAAAGCCCAAACCTCGCCGGTCCCTCCTGGATCAGGGTGGCTGAGGGATGCACTTCACACCACCAGCTGAAGCCACTTGCAGCTGGGATGGCGAATCCAACAGGATTCTAAATTCTTGGCTCTCATTTGAGGGCACAATATGTTCTGTAAAATGCTGCTCTGGGTCCCTGAGCAGCCCCCAGACCTGGCAGGCTCGACGTGTCTCCCCACCCCTCGCTCCGGGTGACAATATTTCCTTACAGTATTTCCTGCTAGTTGGGCAATGGGATGCCACTGGCAGCACTGGTGTGGGTCAGACCCTACGAGGGTGAGGGATGTTGGAGATGATTCCCAAACAGTGGCTTCCTCTGCTCCCAGCAGGGAGGAGACAAGCACATGATTAAAAAAAAAAAACCTCCTGAGAATTCCGAGCTGGACAAGGCTTTATCACCTTCAAAGAGCAGCTCCGGCCTCGGTTGCCTGGTGATGTGAACTCCCACCATGGGTGTGTGCTGCCCATCCCAGCTGAAGCTGCACCACCCCATTCCACCCCTCCCCAAAATGTTGCTTTCGGATGGGCTGGTGCCACTGGAAGGGGTTGGCTGCACAGGAGGGATGTGCCCTGGACCTCCCAGGTGAGGCTGGATGTCGTGGAGGTGCAGCCTGGCTCTGATCCAGACCTGGATCTGCCAGCTTGGAGGTTGCTGGTGCTTCCCAGGGCTGTGGTGGCACCGGCCTCTGGGCATGTGGAGCATTTTTCAGGGAGAAAGGCAGAGAAAGGGATGCCGTGTCTGCTGGGCTGGAGGTGGCATGAGCCTCACCCAGAATGGGAATTCTGCTTCTTTGAGTTTTTCTCTTCTGCAGGGAAGTGAGCTGAGCTCCTGGTTGGAAAAAGTGTCTGGTGTTGATCACCTGTGATGGCTGTGAACAAACTGGGAACAGCCCTCAGAGCAGCGGGATGGGCTTCAGGAGACAGGAATGAAAGCAGAGCAAGGAAAAGATCAACCTGTCACTGGATTGGTTATTTGCACTGTTCCACCCCAAATATGAACCTGAGGTGATGCCTCGGTCACCCTTTTGACTTAGAATGCTCCTGCCTGTCCCTCTCTTGGGGATTGTCTCTGATTGCTCCAGGCAGTGGAGGTGGCTCCTCTGGGATCCCCAGCCTCATTTCACAGGTGGGGAAATGCAGAGGGTCCAATCAGCCAGGAATGAACCCAGCCGTGGTAACACAGGGTGTGACGCCACGCTGGGGCTGAGGATGCTCCTCATCACTCTCCTCCCAGCCCGGGCTCAGCCAGGCTGACACAGAGCACCCGGCAGGAGGGAGAACGCTGCTCTTGTGATTTGTTTTTCCCAGGATCAGACCCCTTTATCGGGCTCTTTTGCCTCCAGCCACCAGAGCTGGCAGCCTTTTCCTTGCCTGTAGGCACTGCCTGGCAGAACAGGAGCGTGGGGAGCGGCGCTGAGGCGATGTGAACATATGCAAATCAGCCAGCGTGACGCGTATCCTAAGGTGTTAATGAATTTAGAGATGCATGAATAATTATTTGTGAAAAGCACGGCGAGCCGCTGAGGTCACAGATGGCTGGAGAACGACAAAGGCAGCAGCGCTTGGGGGAGGAAGGAGGGTCCCGCTGGCACTCCGGGGCCAGGAACGCTCCGGCAGAGAGGGACACGGTGGGAAACCGAGGAGCAAGGGCACAGGATCCCGAAATTCAGCAGGTGAGGCTGTGCTAGATCTGAGGGGCCGGGCCGGGGCCGGGACGGGGAGTGCAGAGGCAGCAGCTGTTTGCCAGCGCGGCCGCTCCTCCTCAACATCCGATTAACGACCCCGAGCCCCGCATGGCAACGACATTCCCTGTGCTATTAAGCTGCCAGGTGTGATGAGGGTGAGAAGAACATCCCAAAGGATGCTGTCGAGGTTGAGCCTGGATTAACGACCCCGAGCCCCGCATGGCAACGACATTCCCTGTGCTATTAAGCTGCCAGGTGTGATGAGGGTGAGAAGAACATCCCAAAGGATGCTGTCGAGGTTGAGCCTGGGATGGACATCTCCCAGGAAGCTCAGAGAAGGCAAATGAGGAAGCAGAGGGGGACTAATGCTGGCACAGGGAGTGGGCAGAGCTGGAAAGCCCAGGGGTGAGGTGCTGGGCACTGCCCCCCTGCCCCTGCCAGAGGGGTCTCATCGCTGCTCATCAGCAAGAGGAAGTTTTTGACTTGATCCATCATTTCATTGACAAACTTGGAGCCTTTTCTCAGGGATCTGTTCAGCAGAAGGCTGGGTGTCCACACTGGCTGTTGGACACAGCGAGGAGCCAGAGGTGCCCAAAGAGGGCCTCCTTGCAGGCAGGGGAGGGGGCTCAGGCAGCCAGGGTGGCAGAGACCACAGATCATCTCTTGCAACTTCTGAACAGTGCTGATCCAAGGATGTTATTTCCAACTGCTGTATTTTCAGGAAAAATGCCTGGATTTGGCCAGGAGAGGGGGTGAATCGCCTTCTCCTGGTCCAGCAGCCAGGCTTGTGAGTCTCTGTCATGTTGTATCTGAAAACCCTCGGCTTTGCCACCCTGTTTGCTCTTAAACAGCCCCTTTGCACTGAGCTGTGACCAAATCACCTCTCACAGGTCTGGCTGACAAACCCAGGAGCTCTGTAACGTCTCCCCAGAAGGCATTTTTTTGCTGGTTCTCAAACAAAAGTTGCCATTTTTTCCTGCACCGTTTCCACCCTGCCAGAATCCTCATTGCAATGTGCCTGGCACAGCTCCCACTGCTCTGCTCCTGGCCCTGCCAAGGGCACACACTGATGTGGAATCACCCTCTGGATCTGGCAAATACCCCAGGAAAGTCCTCAGGATGACTTCCAAGATCCTGTGCCTGGCCTCCCATGACCATCCTCTTCCTCATTTATTCACAATGGTAAATATTCTGTGTGTCTCCTCTTCTGTGTGTGCTTCCAACCTGGTGGTTATGGCCTGGAGTGGCATTTGGGATAATCCCAGACCCCTCTATGGGAGCCAGAGCTGGGCTTGGTGCTGCTGATCACACAGATGATGTACAGAGTCCCATGGAGAGGAGGCTTCTCATTCCCCTTCATCCCAGCAGGTTGCTCCAAACCAAATCCCAGCCTCCTCTGTCCTTCCAGCCTTGCAAATCCCTCTATGGATTTGTGGATTTCTCAGGGCAAAGCCCTGCTGGGAATGAAGGGCCTTGCAGAGAAACCTCAGCAGTTCTGGGATAAGGTGCCAGATCTCCACCTCCTCCTGCCTCCTCCTTTAAGGCTCCCTGGCTGTGTAAGTGCTCTGGCAATTCTGGTAATTCCAGCAAGCAATTCCACCCACACCACGACACTCAGCCTTGCCTTCCCACTGGGAATTCATGGAACAGCTTTTGCAGGCAGGACATACAAGTCCTGCCCGAAAAACTGAGGGTTAGATGAGGAAAAAACCACTGAGCAGGCTAGAAATCAGCCTCTGGCCTCTTCAATCCCTTCTCCCCTTCCCACCTGCTCTTTTCACTCTCATTTTACAGTCACTTGCCTTTCTTTGCTGTTCTTTTGGCCCCACACCTGTGGATTTGCTCCCAGCTCTGTGCACACCTTGGATCTCCCACAGAACACTCTGGATCTGCCCCCAGCTCTGTGCACACCTTGGATCTCCCACAGAACTCTTTGGATCTGCCCCCAGAACACCCTGGTTCTGCCCACAGAACCCTCTAAGCAGCCCTGCTTAACGAGCTCGTTATCACCTCGTGCTCACCCCTTGTGTGCCTCCCCTCCCTCTGCAGCTCTCCCCGCCCGAGGTGGCAAATTTGCTTTGCAATTAGCCCCGAGGGCAGCCGGGCCACTGCAATAAACCCCTCCCAGCTCTGCCTCCTCGTTTAGCCAGGTGTCAGTCGAGGAGTTTTTATGGCAGGAGGATGTGGATCTCCGGAGCAGGATGTAATCTTTGCCTTGGGCGGGGATTACGCGACGAAGGACACGTGCCTGGGCTCGGTACCATCAAACGCCTGGAGCAATCTCTTAGGGAGGGGAAGGAAATCCTTACCATCAGCTGCTTGATGGTCGGGTGCTCCTCCGCCTCCCTGCCCGAGGCCGGCTCCTTGTGCACGATCTCCACGCGGATATCGTTCTTGGCAGAAACCACACCCTTGAGATCTGGGAAAAGAGGGAGATGGAGAAGGGGTTTAGCCCAAGGCAGTGGTGGAGCATCTGCAGGGAGCTGACTGAGGATGCTTGGCAGCACCAGGGAAAATAAACCCGGCTCAGCAAGTTCATGCAAGAACTAAGGGAGCAATATTACCATGTCACCTCTGGGCAGCTCAGATTCCTATTGGAATTCCTTTGGGAGCTTGGCTGGTCTCTCTGCCACACTCATGGTGCTGTTAACAGGGGCTGGGCTGCAGCAGAACTGCTCACACAGGTGGTGGAATCATTATCCAGCCTGCTGATTCATAGGAAATACTGCTCCTGAGGGCAGGACCAGCTCTGCCCGGGTGCTGGGAACCCCTGAGGAAAGCCTTCCCCAGTTTGGGGTGCAGACACGTATGGAAAAGGCCAGGCAACGAGCACAGACATGGCCGGGGATGATTTTGTCATCTCCATCAGCCTGTTTTCCCGCAGAACAGAGAGAAACATTCCTGGAGAGACTCCCTGCCTTCCCTGAAGGTGTCAGGCGTGCTTCAAACAAGCCGTTTTAGGAGAATTAAACCAGGGACGAGGAGCAGCGGGAGCAGAGGCGGCGGCAAAGCCGAGATGAAAAGCAGGCACGGATGCAAATCTGAGCAGTGAGACCTCAACGGCTTTGAAGCCGCGCTCCAGCCTCGGATCTGGCTCTCACTTCCCAGGATGGCTGTGCCAGCCCTCCCGGCCCCCAAAACTGCCTTGAACCTCTGGTTTGTCAGATCTGCCTCCAGCTGATGGAACCAGCAGGGCTCTGCCAGGCCAGGATTGCAGGGATCAGTCCAGCAAAGGGGGGTTTTATCTCTAAACCAAACTGGATGATGCAACCGAGACCAGCCTGGAGCTCCATCCTTGAATTCATCTTTCTCAGCATCCCCTGCCCTCGATATCTGCAGCCCCCAGACCTCTCCAAGTCTCAGGGCACATGGCAAAACCTTTTGCTGGGAAGTTACTACAGATTTTCCTTTTATTTTTTTTTTCCTGCTGGGACCACGTTCCTGGTGCCAGAGCCTTTGTCTTTAATCACAAGGAGAAGCTAATCACTGTCTTGCACCTTCTCTCCCAGGAGTGCTCCCCCTTAAATAACTCTGGGCCGTTAAATCACCGAAGATACAACACCAGATGTGCAGTAAAGTCATCTTTTTCTTTTCCAGAGCCTCCAGGCTCGGTGTGTCTGCACCTGGTCCTTTTTTTTTTTCTCTTTTTCCCTGCATTTCCCCAAAACAAGGCCAGGAATTGCCTCCTCCAGTGCCATTAGTTGTGGTCAGGGGCTGGGGCGGGAGGTTCCTTCCCCTGAGTTACTGCTGGGTCACCGTGTCCCCTCCACACAACTGTTCCCACAGCCTGCACCAGGCTGTTGTTGGAAATGATGCCACAATGCTCCAGTGTTTGTCTTGGGAGAGGAATCTGCAGTCACCCTGGCAGGAAATGAGTCCTTCTCCTAATATCCAAGTGCTCTGTTGGTCCCACCATCCCTGAGCTGATCTCTGTAATACCTCTGCTCCTTGCACGCCACTAAGCAGGATCAAATTCTTTTCCTCATCTTCCAGCCTGGTGTTCCAACCTTCCCAACACTGGAGACAGTGGCCACAGCATCCAGTTGGCATCAGCACCTCGAAACTGGTTCCCTTGGCACATTCAAGTCCTCCCCTGAAGGGTTCTGCACCTCCTGAGCGTCACTGCGGGGCCAGGTCAGCTGCTGGTGCTCCCAGCTCCCCCCAAAAAATGAGGAGAGACCCTGCTTTGGCAGCTCCAAGTGGCTTTTGGAGCCATGTGAAGGGGGACTGAGTGGCCTCACTGGCACCAGCATGCCCTGCATGGATCTCAGGCTGGGGAATCCCACCTGCACCCTGGATTTGCTGCTGCCCCTGGCTGGGTCTGGCTCTCCTCCTCCCATTTCACTTCGGGGAGGGAAGGCAGGTCAGGGCAGGGATCTTTGTTGAGCTCTTGGATGATCTCTTCTTGCTTCCTCTGATCCCAAAGTGAAGTGGCAAAGGAGCCTTGTGGGAAGCACAGGGACTCATTCCCTGGTCCGGGAATGCTGCCAACCTCTCTCCAGGGAATCACTGTGGGAGGAGCTGAAGAGCAGCAGAGCAGGGAAGGTGCCCAGACTCAGCAGCTCATGGCATATCAAGACCCAAAAGCCCTTTCTAAGCAGGACAGAACTGGAAACACAGCAGAGAAAAAGGGACTTCAAACCCTGCCACTGTTGTCCCCAGTACCTTCTTGCCAGCATGTATCCTCCCTGCCCTGGGGAGGAAAATGCCTCTTCTTCCCAGTTTATCACTGGGATAAATCACACAAGGCATTTGGGTGCGATGGGGTTGTCCTCTCTTGGCTTTTCCCCACGAAGACCAGCCCATCCCTGAACGCCTCCAGCTTGTGAGGGACTAAATCCTGGCATTTTCACCGTGTCTGGGATCTGTTATGGTGACATTCCCGTGCAACTGTGTGTCCTGTAAAGAGCTCTGCACCATCTGGTTCCATCAGATGAGAGGGAGCTAATGAACCACACACTGTCCCTGCTCCAGAGGGTGTGGTGTGGGGAAAGCACAGCCCATGGACACGGGAACACAGCTTGGCCCTGCTTCCTTCAGGTGCTGAAATCATCCATCGCTGCCCAATGATCTCCACAACATCAAATTGGCCTGGTCTTGGGTCCTGTCCGTCAGCAGTCCTTCCCCAAAAAGCAAGATTAACGAATTCCCCCATTTAACTTGTTAATTCTTTCTAATGGAGGCTGTGAGAGTTCAAACAAACGGGATAAAACAGGGAGAGGCATCATTATTGCTCTGGAAATTAAACACATTTCTGCTGTGGGAGTCTGTGTGTCCGAACCAGATCTGGGAGCAGCCTCGTGTCTCTGATTGCTTTGCAAACCATCAAGGGGGGAAAATAAAGGGAGAAATAAAACAACTGGGTTTTCTGGCACACACACAGAGAGCTTGGCATCCTGGCATCTGCACCGTGTGCCTTGGGAGTTCAGAGTCCTACAGAGAATTCCTCCTCTCCCAGAGGTTTGGGATGCTCCAGACAATCACACTCTTCTCCCTCCTGGTTTGGTGCCTTTTCATGGAGTAAACAATTCTTTAATTTCCTGGTGTCCTTTTAATGAGGCCACTCGATGCCACAGTTTCCCCCTCCTTCTCTACCTATGTCTCTAATGTCACTTTAACTTGTATTCCCACTGCAGCCAGACTCCAAAACCCACATATCCCATGGAAATCCCTCCACTGGCTGTCATTCCCGCCAGGAATATGCATGCTATGTCAGGAAAATTTGAATTAAAAGAGAAGCAGAACCGTGGAGGGTTTTTAAGCACCGGTGTGGCACAGCGAGGATGCTTCTCCCTCTTGGACATCAGGATTACTCCAGGGGAGGGATTAGGAGGTTTCCTGCATGCCTCCTAAACTGCCTGTGCTGCTAACAGGGATCAGCACGTTTTTCCACAAACACTTCCCTTTTCCCATGGGCAAAGCAAGCATTTGGAAGACCAACATGATGCCACAATGCTCCAGTGTTTGTCTTGGGAGAGGAATCTGCAGTCACCCTGGCAGGAAATGAGTCCTTCTCCTAGTATCCAAGTGCTCTGTTGGTCCCACCATCCCTGAGCTGATCTCTGTAATACCTCTGCTCCTTGCACGCCACTAACCAGGATGAAATTCTTTTCCTCATCTTCCAGCCTGGTGTTCCAACCTTCCCAACACTGGAGCAGCAAACATTTGGAAGACCAACATGAGAAGCAGCTC